TCCAACTGCTTCCAAGAGGAAATGGAGCACAGGGGAAGGGAGGAGTACCAAGTCAGGGCTACTCCTTTGAGGGTTTCCATGAAGGATTTACACATCAAGCCTTTGGACGAGCCATGCAACATCATCTACGCTTTGAAAGCCTCAGCATGATCGTCGGGGTCCGCAGTTCCATCGTACCTCTCAAAATGCGGTGCTCGCCATCTAAATGGGGGGAGCTCGTCTACAATGTCTTGTATGAAGGGCATCTCCTTGATGGGCTAGATGTTTGGCTCCACTGACTAGACTGCAGGAGGGGTTGTACTTCTCTGGGCCTGGCTACTCTCCAACTCAGTTAGGCGTTGGCGGAGTTCTCGGATTTTCACATCCCTATCGTTTGGGACTGTAGCAGGCATGGCTTTTTCCTTTTTGGGCGCCGTCGAGCGATCTTTGACTAAACTAGACTTGGCGATGGAGATTGGCTACTATGTCCGCTTGCCGAGCCTTTCCTTTGCTGGAACTCGAGCAGACTAATAAGTTTTGCTACGGTTGTCGCATTCGCGGGACCGAGCTAAGGAGCTCAATCTTCTTGAGAATTCTTGCTTTTCTTGCTCAGGCCATGCCCTATCCTTGTCCAATCAGCACGTTTTGGGGTCCTCAAGGCAAGGATCAGCCGTAGTACGCGTTAGGGCAGGAGGGGGGATAGTCTGAGTGGGCAGCGTCATAGACCCCAAAGGCTACATCAATGCCAAGACCCGGTCGACCTTTTCTTGCATTACTTGGAATTGAACAGGGTCGATCATGGCTTGCTACCAAGGTTGTTGGGTCTTGCGGCACGGAGGGTTGCGATGAGAACGGGATCCCTGAGATAGGGATTAGCCTGTCGATCTTTTAGAGGTGTTTCTCGGCATCTTTATTGATTGCACAGTAAAGAGAGGGTTTTGGGAAGGTTTTTTGTGTGTTTCCCATAGAAGGTGCCAATGTAATGTTGTTCGGTCTGAGGTAGTGCTTAAACTGAGATCACAATCAGATAATCCTTGCTAACTGGGTGGAGTCGAGGTGGAAGGACGAAGTCGTACTCCAAGATCTAAAACCAAGAAAAAGTCAGAGGCCTAAGGAGTTATCCTCGGGTAGATACTCTGACGCTCAAGTCAATAGAAAGCGGTGGAAAGTTGGACCAAGCAGTTAAAGAACGATGCTCGTCCGAGCAGAGTAACAATATGGGAGTCAAAAGTTGGATCATTTACCTTGAGCAAGAGGTACCATATTATAGCCGATGATCCGCGTCCTGATCGGATGAGGCTACCGGGATGGTCGGAATGAGGTAAACCGTCGAGGTCTTTGGGATAAGACCTAATCCCCAACGGAGTTGTCCCCATCCGTACAAAGTTCTCTTGTCTTGGTCGCGCTTATCCACATGACGTGGTGCCGATGTGGCTAAAGAGATAAGACGGAGCCGCGGAGGTGGCACGGTGCTGGCGCGGCCAAGGAGATAAGGCGGCCACATAGGCGACACATGGCATCCAGAGCCAAATCAACCATAACCCGAACAAAAATAAAAACATATAAATACAGAGATGTTCTTGAATTCAACTACAAAAGGTCATGAGCATAGTGTGACTGTGTGAGTATGCTTTATGAGGATTGGTCTGGTCCCGCTTTTAGCAATGTTTTAAAAAATGACCCGGAACTGGAACCGTTCTGGCCACCGATTTCTGGGTCGATGGTTCGATTGTCTAGTCTGAATGGATGACCCGTTTTGACAAAAAATTATAAAAATAGTTAAAATAAAAAAACAACCAAAACTATTGAACAAGTCAAACGGATTAATGATTCGGACACCCGAATCAACAAATCGTTGACCGATTTAACGGCTTTTGGCTAAAGACCGGATTTGAGATAAAACAGAATCAGTTGTCTAGTTCCCAGGTCGAACGTTCTGACCGTCCAGGTCAATAGCGGTTCGAAAACCTTGGCTTTTTGTATATTTCGGAACCTTGGTTATGTAACATGTGAGACACCTGCTCCATTGTCCATCCATCATACTAACCTCAAGCTAGTGGCCACCCTTCGCAATTGAAGTTTGTAGTAGCAGAAAGGAAAGCAGGTATTTCCTCCGGTGGAGAGATGAATGGCTAGTTCAAGACCACATTAGGCCTAGGGGCATTTGTAAGGACCCCACAGTTCCACACTAATTCTAAATAGAAGTTCCTAAACACCTTTTGATCATTTAACGTGGGAGATATTCTTTTCAGTCATCAACTTGACCAAAAGAACTACTCTCATCCAGGCGTATATAACATCTTTTGGAAAACACAGTTTATTTTTGTGAATGTTTTCAAAATCGAATCAGACCGGAAAAACTGGGAATAGGTCACCTGATTGATTCTATTTCACTTTAAAACCATTTTTTGGCCACAAAGTCATTGATTTATCAGAGAACCACCGACTCAGACAGTCAAATTGTTGAACCATCGACCCAGAGAATGGTTTTGGCCTTTTTTGTTTTTTTTATTATTTTGTCAGAATATGCCATTCATTCAGACCAGACAGTCAGACCGGTTGACCCAAGAACCGGTTCCAAAAACAGTTCCCTGTCTGGTCCGATTTTAAAAACCTTCATTTTTGTCATGTGCGAAGGCAAGTGAATAGGTCAATTAGTCAATACCTATTAGTTAAAAGCAATTTTGATTTGCATAGGTGGAGTGGGAGGTCCAAATTTGACAGCATGTCACCATCATGTATCAACGTGTATAGATAATAGCAGCTGTGTCGACGTTGAGTATTATTTGGTATTGGCTAATATTAAGTATTAATGAGATTTGTATTGGTTTGCTAGATGTATGCACGGATATCTCAGTTCTTCCGCCATTTCCCAACATTTCTCAAGTTTATCTCAGTTCTTGACATCCTAATATTTACTATTGAACCAAAGCAATCGCCCCTTTAAAATTACGTTGGAATCAACCTGCATAAATGAAACAATTCATCCCCTCCCCAAAGACTGCAGATTTTAAATTCACTCAAATTGACATGTGGCAATAGCAAAAGTACAACAATTCAACCACGTCGATTGAGTGCGGGATGGGTAATGTTAAAGAGGTTTGGCCTTCAATTGATGGAATCCGATTCAACCGGATACAAAAATACAAAAACCTTGATTTTCATTTCACACATTTCGAACTCCCCTTCCCTATCCGCTCCTTATTTCGAACTCTAATACAGCAGCTCACTGATACCTTCACTCCACACCAGCACCCCCATGAACGACGAAGCCACCGATGGTGAGAGACCGGGAAGCACCCCCGTGAACAACGATGCTCACCGGTGCCTTTTGGCATTCTCCTTTCTTTTGTTTGTTTCTGATCTTACACTAGTGGAATCAAGCGACCAGGAAGCGCTTCTACCTCTGAAATCGGCGGTTGATCCTTCAAACTCACTTCCATGGAAAGGATATGACTTCTGCAACTGGCAAGGTATCAGAGAATGCTCGAGGGGAAGGGTTACAAAGATTGTTGTCAAGTACTTAAACTTGATGGGAACCCTAGATGCAGCCAGCTTAAACCGGCTCGATCAGCTCCAAGTACTGAGCTTCAAAGGGAACTCGATTTCTAGTGAAATCCCTGACCTCTCCGGCCTCACCAATCTCAAGTCACTCTTCCTGAACGATAATCAGTTCTCTGGCTACTTCCCCAACTCCATTTCTGACCTACATCGTCTAAAGGTTGTAGTCCTCTCAGGGAACAAAATCTCCAGCAACATTTCATCGTCCCTTCTCAAGCTCCAGCGATACGTTCTTTACTTGCAAGACAATCGGTTAACCGGAGAACTCCCACCTTTGAATCAAACCAGTCTCAGATTCTTCAATGCATCAAACAATATACTCTCCAGCGAGATTCTGATAACCCCTACTCTCATTCAGTTCAAATTTTTATCGTTCTCAAGTAACCTAGACCTATGTGGTGATCAGATAGACAGGCCATGTAGTAATGGAACTCAAACTTAAAGCCTCCCCCCGATTAGTCCCGCTTCTCCGATTAATACCTTCAGGCTCTTCGAGTCACCGCACCGGCGACGGAGAAAGCTGGTTGCGATTGTCGTCGGAAGCATTGAAGGGTTCCTTCTGTTGCTAATCTGCTTGGCTCTGTCATGGAGGGCTTGCAGAAGAAGGAATGCAGTCAGAGGAGCAAAGCAATGGTTCAACCGCATTCTTTAACTAACAGCTAAATATCTATTTAAAGTTTGTAAATTTAAAACACGTCGGCGTGGGCGTTTGTGATTGGCAGGTGCACTCGTCTAATGCATGCACAACGCAAACTCACTTCATAGTTCGTACTTGTTGAATCTTACGGAGTGTAGATGCCTGCATTCTCCAATCTCCAATGGAATTCGTCAAACACGTGCAGTAATTAGAGACGGCAATTTCCCCACAAAATCAGGGCCTTGCCCCGCCCAAACGAGGCAGGTTTTCCCTGATGTAAAATGGGATCGGAGCAAGAACAAGAAAGAATCCCCAATGCGAGAATTGGGATTGCAATTCACCGAACCTGATGGCAAACTAGTAAAATATTCACGAGTTCAGTATTAATTTTTAAAAAGTTACCCCCAAATTTTTAAAACCTATATTTCATTTTTTAATACTATCAAATTAACATAATCCAATTCTTAAAATACCCCAAATTCTCATATTAATAAAATGTATTTTTAGGTAATTGCATTGGAACAGGGAAAATTTAGGGATTCACCGTCCATGATGGAGTGGGTGCCACACCCCGAACCCACCCTGCCACCGGGGACGGGGTAGAGTATTTTGGCTACAGACGGGGATGTGGAGGGGGTGCCCCGCCCGTTGCCATTCCTAGCAGCAATAACTGAAATAGTTACCATACTAAGACCGCATTTGGCCTCCTTTCTGCAGTTAAAAACTCAGTGTAGGGGCATTTTAACTGCAAAAAAGGAGTAAAGTTCTTAAAATAAGGAATGCCAAATGCAGCCCAAAACTGAAACCACTCGGAGATTTGAACTGATCCCTCGACAACTTTCATGATTTCATATGGTAAACTGAGCCTATGGAACAGTATGTATAATCGCAAGTCTAATCACAAACGAAACATCATCATAGATGCAAGGCACATTTCTGCATTCACCCGAAACTTTACATAAAATCTAACTTGGCCCTAATTAATCTCTGATTTTGATTCTCTCAGACCATAAACTGATCATCTATACCAAGAGAGAATTCCACAAAACCACAAACACTATAGACAAAACGAGTAAATATTAAATATGGCTTCGGAACCACGATCACCTTCAGTTTACCCGACCACATTGACAGACCAAAAACGAACACAAAAATGCATTATAGCTGCTCAATATCCACCTCACTATTGGCATCCACATCCCCTGCCTCCACATCCAATGCTTCCACATCAACAGTCTCATCATCACCTTCATACTGCAACACCAAATAAAGAGTGGAAGTAGTACAGTGCCCATTTAAGTGTCAGTCACAAATGGCAAGTCTAGCATGAGAAATAGCCTGGACAAAAAGATTGGGTATATTTGATACCGCACTTGATGACTATTAAGGGAGTGTTTTCCCATATGTATGATCATGTTTTTCAAACAAAATCAATTGCCACATCAGCAAAATCATACATATTTGGCAAACACCCCTAAATCATTCACTAAAAAAGAATTAAGTACTTTGTTCTCCAGGACATGAAAGATGAAAGTCCTCTGGCCAAGAAAAAAGAGATGTTCAACATGAAATAACCTGCTTGTAAGCATTTTGAGGGACCACTGGAGGTGGGGGTGGCAAGTGTGACAAGCCTGTCTGCTCATCTATAGTCCCTTTGTCGAAAGGATTAGATGCAGACTCCAACACCTCAAACTTCTCCATTTCAGTTATCTCCACGAGTTCATCAACTGCATGTGCAGCCATGCTGGTTGAAGGCAACTCTGAACCTTTCACCTGCACATTCCACAGGAAACTGCTAAGAACTTTGTTAAATGATTTTAAACTTTTTCTGTATGTCTTGGAAGGCGATGGTTACAGTTCTCTAATATGGAAATTATGGTGGTGTCTGACAACATGGTCAGTTTTGCTGATGTGGTAGGCAGCTGTTTTTGTTTTCAAAAACAAAACCATGTTGTCGAACACCCCCTATAAGAGTTTGGATGCTTATGCCCAACAGAATGTCAGAAACAAGCTAGCTATAAGGTACACCAACACAAATACCTTGTCTATAGAAGCACTACTAAGAGAACCAATCTTTCCTCGCTTGTGCTTGCTCACATTTTCCAGGGGCCTAATATAACCATTCTTTCCAGTCAGGATTCGATTCACCACCTCAGCCTCCTTAATGTTCTCTGATTGAACTGAGGGTCCATCCCACCGAGTGAACTTTTCTAATCTGGTTTTCCCAGACAGAATTCCTTCTCTTTTCCTTGCAGTTGCTGGGATGATAAATATGTTAGCACAAATAGAACATGCACTACACACCATCATGAGATGCAATTCCAAATATAAATAAATGTAACCTGGTTTTTCTTCTTCACTGGTTTCAAGATTGAAACGCCGCCTTTTCTTAGTTGGTGAAGTTTGATTCTCAAGATCATTCTTTGGGCTCATTCTGTTTTTATCATTAGGCTCTCCGTCACTAACAATGTTGATACTCGAATCTTCTTCATTGATAGCAGGTCCTGAGGCATCAGAGCCAAGGAGCTCTCCTAATTTTTGAAGCCGAGCTTGTGACCTTGCAACATAATTTATAAATGATTAAACTAATAAAAAAATTTAAGACCAAATGGAAGGCACAGTAGGTTGAGAAGAAAAGAAATGTTTAACCAAACGCAAGACAAATGTATGCACCTTAATGAAAATAGAATAAAGACTTACCTCTTAAGCTCCTCTTGAGCTCGAGAATGACGAGTATGTGCCTTTATGAATTTCTTGATTTTTGAAGTGACCCTAAAAAAATACAGAAAATGGAACAAAAAACAAAAAACAAAAGAAATACTATTTTTCCCACATGGTAGAAATAAAGAACAGAAATTTTCCAATAATCATATCTGTAATACCTTTTATAATCTTCTTGCTCCTTGGACAATTGCAATTCAAGCTCTTCAATTCTAGAACTGAGACTAACTGCATCCTGTACCCTCTCATCCAGGTCGATCTTGAAAACAAAAGACAATTCAGATTAGTAACATTTTATTCTTTTTTATCAGAAAAATTATCAAAGAATTTCATTAATACTAGTGAAGATACAAGGGCAGACGAAGATACAAGGGCAGACCAAGCCCAGGCCAAGCTCGGCACCTTTAACGAGCATTAATGCAATATAGCCAGGGCAAAGGCGCAGGCCTGGCCTGGTCCAGACAACAAGCCTGAAATTTAAGCCTGGGCCGGGCTTTGAGCCTATTTCACTAAATACATCATATTTAATAAACATGATAATTTATGTTATACGACAACATAATATATGTATAAAATATATGCTATAATTCATATGAATATAAAGTTTTATATTATATCATGTGTCATTTTATAATGTTTATATATGATATATCATATAATATAAAATAAAACATAGATGGGCCTGTAAGTGTTGGGACCAGGACCAAGCCTGGAAATTTGCATGCTGAGCTAGAAATAATCACCCCTAGTTGAAACCTTAACAGTCAAAGCTTTAGCTTTTTCTTTTGCATTTCCTTTCAATATAGCACTGTATCACAAGAAAAACCAAACCCAACCTGACCGTCCCCAGCACAAGTTTTGCTTGGGTTGGACTAGATCAGCTTCAACTTGGCTCTACTAAATTAAAAGTTCAGCTTAATTCGCCCATACCTGACTAAACCCACCCATGTTGAATCACTACATACCATTTTGAATTTTTACCTTTCTTTCAGAACCTTTGACTAGCACCAATCTGATCATCGTTGGTCCCCAAGAACATTGGCATAATTTATTTCAAAACCATCCAAATAAAGGATTTTCATATAATTTTCTCAACTTCTTGCTTCTTTTAACTTTTGAAAATACAAGTTGTCTATTGATTGATGTGTTTGCATATGAGGACCAGGATTTTAACTTTGTCTTGTACCAAAATTTAGGGCTGTTCACGGGTCGGATTGGGTCGGTTTACTGGCATTTTTCCAGTTTGCATATGAGGACCAGGATTTTTTTTTTTTAATCAATAGAGGACCAGGATTTTAACTTTCTGTCTTGTACCAAAATTTAGGGCTGTTCACGGGTCGGGTTGGGTTGGTTTTCCAACCGACCAGACCTGGTCGGTTTACCTAGAAATGAAACCGAAGCTGACCCTGTACTAAGTAAAACCGACCTGGTCGGTTTAAGTCGGTTTGGGTCAGTTTTGTGAATGATTCTCTCAGTGAACGGTAAAGGATTCAAGTCTAAGAAGCGAAGACTGGATGCCTGGAAATTAAAAATGATTTGATGGATTAAAGCTAAAATTTTATATATCAGAAATTTTATATATAATATGTATATTTCTGAAATAAATCTGAAATATATATATATTTCCACAAATATATACCTGAAATATATCAGATATATATTAAAACTGAAATATATATATATTAAAACTGAAATGAAAACCGAAACCGAACCAAACAATCGGTTTATGTTTTTTTGTAACCCGAAACCGACCAATGCTGAAGAAAAACTGGCCGGCTCGGGTTGGATCGGACCGGGTTGGTTGGTTTGGGTCTTGTTATGAACAGCCCTACCAAAATTCAGACATGGCTCAGAATAGTAATTATGACCAGAATTTTCTAAGAGTTTCAAGTTTAGGTAATAACTTTTTTTAATAATCCTTTGTTTATTTTCCTATATTTTCTATTTTTCCAAGTTGGGGGGTTTACCCACTCACAGCTTCACCATTTCTTCCATTTTTTGCTACTTTTTCATTGATTTGAAGAAAAAAATGTGCTTTTCCTTGATTTGTTTTAAATCCCATTTTCATAACCCTCAAAACTGAAAGAAATCCTCAAGTTCAGGAAATGTTTAGATGGTGCAGAAAATTCTGAAAGGTTTGTTGCACCTATGTTCACAGGCTTCACATCCTCAAGATAATGAACCAATCTCAGAATGGTGAGGTCATTAAACCAAACATGCATAGTAACATGTACCAAAAAGATAATGAACTAAATTATGCTTGACAGTTTTGACTATGAGTGAAGTAGGTAGGGTTGCAGTTTATCAGGGCCTGACCCCTTTAGACTAGTTTGCTTTGGGTGTATGGGAAATTTGATGGTTCAGCCCAAGCTAACAAAATCCTTATTAGCTTGTACCAACCAAAAAGGATATTCATTTGTCAGTTTCAATCACAAGTCAACAAAACACTATAATTGAAACAACAAACATATTGTATGATCATCACCATCATCCAAGCCTTATCCCAACTATATGGGATTGGCTACATGAGTCCTGTTTCACCATTCTATTCTGCTTAATATATTGTATGATCTATATGGGACAAAAGTTCACAGACCAGAGAATTCACTGTGACATCACCATTGGCTACCTTACATAGTAATGACAATGCCGCTGGCAACAAAATAATGTATCGAGTAATTAAAGAAAGACAATACTCTAGATAAAAAGAATATGAAAGACTGAAAATAAACACAAATATAGAAAGAAAAACGAGTCCAGAGAACAATACTGCTGACAGGTAGTATTTTTTTATGAAGTTCATTCCATAGTTGTCAAGATGATGCCTAGGCGACAAGACGCCCTTGGAGGCTCGCCTCACCTAATTGCCAAGTAGTTTTTACATTGTGTTATAAAATACTTTTATATTCTTAATTTTTTGAGATTATAATTATAAAATGACACTATTAAACTAAAATATTCATTTTGTGTGTTTATATACTAATTTCGTTTTATTATTTTCATATTTGTTAGGGTTTAATCAACACAAACATTGCTAAATGCTGTATTTTCTGCCTATGTAACTCTTTGAGTGTCTTGATCTGTATTTTTTCCTTTTCTTCTTTTCCTATAACAAAATAGGGGTTCAGCCCCCATATTTTTTGAATCTTCTTTTCTTTCTTCTTTTTCTTATGAATATGTTGATTTTCTATACCTTAACATGAAGTCTATACTTTTCTTATGAAAATTATAGATAATTATTAAGGAAATGTGGTTATGGAACCTAGGGAACTACCCTAGGATATTGCTTTTTATTTAAAAACTCCATCGCCTAGGCGACTAGGTGACAAGGTGCTCCTCTCTCGCCTAGCCTCACCTCGGTGCCTTGAAAACTATGGTTCATTCCTACAAAATTTTACAGCTTTGCACTTTCTGCAAATACAAGGAATCTGTACAGAAGTATTGAACTCACCTGCAGTTGACATTTATGGTCATCAAGCATGTCAATATCCAGCTGTACTTGCTTCAACTGCATAGTCACATGAGAGAGAGTCAGGGTGAGTCATTGGCAGGATGATAATTCCTAAGAGTCAATATGTATAAGACAAAATGAAGTCAAACCTGCTCTTCAAGAGCATCTTTAGAATCAGAAGATCCATGCTTCCCTTCTTTAACTCTATCTTCTGCACCCTCCGAGATCTTGAGACCTCCAGAAATATCACTCTGCCCATCTAAATATTGTTTCTTCTTTTGTCTCTTCTTGCTGTAACATAAACAGTACCGTGTAAAATAAAATGCTTCTACTAGCAAAATGCAATAAACATCAGAAAGGCACAAACAATAAGAACCTACGCTTGTCATAGACCTCTCAAGTATATATCTAGGGTTCTAATTATAGCTCAAGAAATTTTCAGAGCCAAGAAACCATTAAGTTCAAGAACCAAGACCAGAAGTACCTACAATCTAGCATGTTTTTACCATATTTTAACTCTTTTTTTATTCCACGGATACAAATGGAATAAAAGCATGGAAACCAGCAACAATAAAGTGGAACAGAGATAATATATCTCCCAGCCTAACCCCCTGCATCTTTCGAAGATGTCCCCTAATGCCACATACATCAAATTAAAAAGTAGGCTGTTGATATATATATATATATATATATATATATATATATATTTGTTGTAACTTTTAATCAAATACATACAAAACTCATTTTGATACCAAATAGATGTGTTCAGAATAAAAACACTAATATCATCACAAAAAGTTCTGAACAACATCATCTAAAGAAAATTCATTACATAGATTGATCTGTACAGATAAATCATATCAATTTTACATACAACACTTAGCCGATCTAATCACTTTTTTTATCAGTAACAGATAACTTTTTATTAATCAATTAAAGATGATTTTCAACTTAAGCTGATCCTATCATTCCACATAAATGTAATGAGTAAGTACAGATTTGCTATAAGATGATACCAAAATAGGCAACCATTAATAAGCATTATTTAATATTAACTTGTATTTTAAAAAATAAAAAATTATTAAAACTTGGCCACTTAATTAGTAAAATATATTATAAGTTTTTAATTAAAATGAACTAACAATAAATAACGATATTGAAAACAAAACAAGTTTCCAACATATAAATGTACAGTGTATGTGTTTTTGATATATTGTAAGTACATATAAATATACATGATGAATTGGAGAAACAATTTCAAAAGAAGAAAATAAGAAAAACTACTCCAGCCATTTGCAAGGACACCCTCATGGAACTTTGGCCATGAAAAAAAAAAACATTCTCACCATCTTCAAGTCTCAAATCTAATGAGATCAACCGAAGTAAGATCAGCCCCCCCCCCCAATAACCAATCCCAAAAGAAGAGATCAAGATCAAGAAGTAAAGAAATCAACAAGAAGACTTTAGCTCAACTGACCATGAGAAAGTAAAGGGGATAATTGTTTTGCCTTTGAATGACACACAAATTTGGACCTTCTAGAGTTGTTAGGGGTGATCATTTCTAGCCTGGCCTGTAAATTCCCAGGCTTAGGCTTAGGCTTAGTTTTGTGTCCAGGTCCAGCCCGGCCCCTGGCCACATCAAGCCTGAAAATTTGAGGGTCGGGCCTGGTCCACAATATATGTGTATGTATTATTTAATATTCATAGCAATTTAATATTATATCAAACATAACATGGATTTCATACATATATTATATATCATATAATATAAAATACTATTTATGCTTAAGTTAATATAACATATTTAAAAGTTACAGGCCCAGAAGGCCAGCCCAGACCTGTATAGGGCCTGGTTGTCAGACAGGCCAGGTCTAGCCTAGGGCCCTAGGCTATGCCCTTAGCATAGGTGCTAAGCCCGGTCAGGTATAATGATCACCCCCTATCATGCACTTCCAGGAAACATTTTCCTTTTTCTTCCTCCTTTCTTATTTGACATAAACAAACAACCAATCTACATGATGAATACAATTTTTGGATGGAGAGCATTATTTTTTGACAAGTGCATAGAGAACATTATTAAATAACAAAAAAGTACATAGAGAGCATTATTAAATAACAAATAAGTGCATAGAGAGCATTATTTAGATGCTATGCATGTGCATTGTATGACCATTTTTTGTAGGGGAAATGTATGATCCATAATTGTTAAATACTCGAGAAAAAAACTATGTTGGATTTCAATAAACCAACATGTCTGAAATTACTATTTTCATCCCTAAACTTTTCATACTTGTTACACATGGTATATTCTCTTGCATTTCTGGTTCATTGGCAAAAACAAACGTGCCCACTCGAAAAGTTCCAAAAACTAGCAAAAGGATTCTATGCTTCATTAATACTTTGTTACATATCCTATTCGTCAAAAAAAAATGTTTTGTTACATATCTATCCCCACAAAATGTAAATTTCTACAATTTCAATATCTCGCAACAAAAAAAATCTACTTCTAAAGGACTAACTTCTGTTCAAAATTGTTATACTTGATTTAATGATGTCTAATTCCCCTCAAAACTGAAATTATTATATTTGATTTAACAATTATGGATCATACAATGCCCCTCAAAATTCCCCTCACATTTCCATACACAGCAAGATGGATTGAAAATATGAAGATGTGGAATCAGGAGGATAAGGTCTGTCCGCGTTCTGGTGGTTTTGGAGGGAAAGCGAACAGTGAGATCAAAGATGAAGGGTCTGAGGTTAAAGACAAGGAGGTGTTTTCAGAAATAAAAATATTATTGGTTCGGTTGGGGACTTTTCCTTGGGCTGCTGCATAGAGGATAATGATAGAGAGTCCCAAAAGGAATTAAAAGGGCAGGGCCCACACAAATTAAAGTGGTGGGGCACATAGGAACTTAAGTGGGGTTGCTATATAGAAAGGTTTTCTCTTATTAAAAGGTGGCGGTGGTAGGGGAGAGGCTAACCTGCTGGGACACATGGAAGAAAAAAAGGAGAGAGTTGGGGTGTTGAAAGAAAAGGAGGAAGCTGGAGTTTTAGAAGACAAATAGGCGTCTCAGGCTGGAAAAGGCATTGAAGCTTTGAACGTGGATCGAGGTTCGAGGTTCGAAAGCCAAGCTCAACAACAAAGTTGGAGTGATTTCTACAATGCTTTGTTCTGGGTTAAGGATCTTGAACAAGAGTAAGTTCAAGCATAGCCGAAGATTTGGGTATATGTTTCAGCCTGAGAATCCTGGTAAGTGGCTCTCAAGTCTGAGATACGAGACTGTTCGTGCAGATCTTAAGGAGGGCGATCAATGAGGAAGCCACGATGATAAATTTGATCTAGGGGAACAATGCAGTGAAAGAAAAAAAAAAGGAGAAGACAAGGTTTAGGCAGTAAGCACGTAAGTTTATTTATTTTGGTGATTTTGTAGTTGAGATCTCTTCCAATTCGTCAGAGTCATGGAGTTTGGATGTGGAGGGCCAAGGGATTGTTTGTTCAGAAGGTCAGAAGGAGGGAAGGGAGGTGGGATCTGGGGAAGAAGGGAAGGAGTGAGAAAGGTTGGAAGGGGAAGGCAGGGAAGGATTGTTAGGTAGGGCTGGTGAAGGGGGCAACGACAAGAGACCAAATGCTTGCAGGCACCTAGGTGTCGCCTAGGCGATAAAAAATTTATAGTATTAAAAACCAACTTTTGGCTAGTTCCATAGGAAACCAGATTTGGTGCTCACAAAATTGTGCTGACACTGTTCTCACAGCCCTTTTCAGCCGTGCATTGTGAACATCTCCCCATTAATAAAAAGATACAAGTATGGACATATTCCCGATGCACAGCTGAAAAGGGCTGTGAGAATGGTGTGAGCATAATTTTGCGAGGACTGAATCCACCCTCGTTCCATAGTTTTATATACTATTCAGAATGTATATTAATCAATGTTCAGAGAACCGCACCGGGCATAGAACTGGAGAAGGAAGAGGTTCAACTGGGGTTAAACCGGAGGTCGAACTGTGATGATGTGGCATATACATATATATTACGGGTCATATAAATACTATATATAATATATTTTACAACTTTTAATATACTTAAATATGGCGGATGGATGATAAGCTTCTTAATTTTTTAAACAATTGACTAGGATTCGAGTCTTTTAATTTACATTTTCTTTAAAATACGTGCATAATAATATAATATGTACAATAAAGTCATTAATTAACATAAGTAAAGAGGTGGATTAGTGGTAATTAAGTAATATGTGAAAATAAGAGGTCTTGGGTTCAAATCTTGTTCACCGGTTTTCTGGATAAACCGGCTGATCAACCGGTTTTCACTGGGTTTTAAGCAAGTCCAGTTATCCGATCAAAGCCCTAGGTCACGGTAGCAATTCTCTTTATTACGAACATTAAATTTCCTCTAAAAATGTGGCAAATTATCACATCTAAAAGATAAAAATCTTTTACATATATAAATTTCATTATTTCCAAAAATAATACTACTATAATAAATATTTAATAGAGCAATTTCATGTCAATTAGCAACTAAAGAAGGTTATTAACTTTATATGATAAATATTCAATATGGAAGGTAAAATAGAAAAAACAAGGATTTTTTTATCAGTATAGAAAAAACAAAAAAAACAAGGATGGAGTTTCTGTTTTATTTAATTAGAGAGAATAGGAAAAATAGAACCTCTTTATAATTTTATTCTTTTTCTCTTTCCTTCTTTCTTTTTCTCTCCTCAAAACCCTTTGATCTTTTAAATTTCAATAGTAAAACATTAAAACAAAGTATAATTGATATATATAGCATATAATAAAATGTATCAGAACATACATTAATAAGACAACAATATAAATGATATTATAAAAGGTGTCTGCCTTAGTCATTTTTGTCGCATAGGTGGGTGCCTAGTTGCTAAAAGTCAAGGCATTTGGGCAAGGCACCCAACCAAGGGCACCTAGTCGCCTAGGCAACGCCTTGACAACAAGAACAACAAATCTGACTCATTAGTAGAGTGCAAGGGTCTCCAAAAGTTTGAAGTTTCAGTTGGTAAGATTGGGAGTCCACCTATGTCAGAGAAGAAATGTGAACAAGGAGTCACAGAACCTCTAGATGGGGTGAAGAAAGCCAGAGAGACAAGCAAGTTTCATTTTGTCCAAGTGTCAAAGGTATTTCAAGGCTAAAAGATGGATTGATTGGGGCAGGTACTTCCAATAAATATAAGAGAGTCTACAAGAGGAAGAGACTTTTTTTTATCAATAACAGAGATTCCATTAATTTATTGAGGAATGAAAGTACATAGAAAGGGAGCTAAAATATCTTAACTCCCCGCAACTGCCACTAAACACCCAAAATACAAAAACAGTTACAACTGACCCCAAAAAACAGAACTCATATTCACCCCTTGTCTAGCTAAGACATCTGCAAAAGAGTTTGCACTTCTCTTTATCCATGTGCATTGAACCTCTCTGCACTTCTCTTTACCTACAAGAGGAAGAGATTAAAAAGTATAGATTCAAAGAAGAAAGGCGATGAAAGGAGGGGGTAGGAGCTTCAAGATGTAGTAGGGGAGATAACGTCAACTTCGACAAGGGAAAGTCTGGAGGGTAAGCCAAGGTCAGGGGATAAGGAGGAGGGGGGTCAAGCTGGTGAGAGTTGTCTCGCTTTGTCTCAACGAGCTAGAAAGAAGAAGGAAGAGGGTAAAGTGGAGATTAAGAGCCTGGCTAACAGGGAGGTTAGAATTGGCAAGAGATTAGGGCTATTTTTATTTTTGGGAGATGAGGAGTTTGCTAGAAGAGTTTTCGAAGTTTTTGAAAAGAGTAAAAGAGAAAATGAAGAAAAACTTGAGACGAGGATGATGACGAGTATGATGAGACATTTGAAGCTGAAGACTAGCTGCTTTTGTAGTGGGGGGTTCTCTGTTTCTTTTTGTTTGTTGTGCCTTTGTAGTCCTTTTGTTGTTGCAGTTGGTTCGGGTGTTATCTTAGCACCCATGTTGAGTTGTAACCAGCTTTTCTTTTTTTATTTTATATTTACTTTAAAAAAAAATAAGGCAAGATAATATTGCATTCAAGTTCCAAAGTTATAATAACAAATGTAAGAATTATTCTCAATCAAGTTTCCAGCACAAGGACTTCCTAGGAACTCATCCTATTATTACTCTTGCCAAGTCATGCTTAACTTTGTCACAATGTTAAGTTGTTAACTACAATATTGCAACATTATCCCCATCATGTTACTTGGACAACATATAGAAAAGGCATTAATATATTTGAGTTTTAATTTGTATCCATCAGGCTTAAAGTTGAATTCCTAGATCAACAAATGGATCTAATTTGGAATAGGTAAAAGAAAATTATAAACAAAGTGGCCAATTGGATATTGACAAGGGAGGAGTATAAGGGTGTATTTTGTAGACTATATTATTAGAGGTTGGCAAAAATGACATCATTTTCTTCTCACAGATTACTGGTTCAGCAGGAGTGGGATTCCCGCCACCACCTCAAGGAAAGCTGAAACTTAATTTTGCAAGATTTCTCTTGGCAATCTTAATCTTTTGAGAGGGGGGTTCAAAGTAGTCAATTAGGGCAATTGATTGTATCATATTCTCAGGTCCTATTGGGATAACACTTGACAAAAGAAAGGCTGGAATGGATGAGCACATCTTCAAATGGAACATGGGAGCTGAGACATTACAGGGAGGCTAAAACTTTTGACAATAAGAAACCAGATTCAAGAGAATGTCAGAGTGTTCAAATGGATCTCTAGCTAATGCAAACTCCCTTATGGATGGCTTCCCATCTACTACCAAGAGATAGGATGTTCTTTTTTATCTTATTTACAAAAATGAATCACTTTCATCTTGTTCTTTATAAAAATAAAATTAAGGGTAAACTGCAGAAAGGTACCCTGTACTTTGGGGGTAGTCTCATTTTAGGGCCTCAACTTTCAAATGTGTCACTTTAGTACCTGATCTTCCGAAAACATACATTTAAGTCCAATTCAGTTAAACTAATGTTAGGTTGATGGGTAAATTACAAAAATGCCCATCTTCTGACTGTTTTTTCATTGTTCATCTTTCTTCTACCATTGGACTTCGGACACGAACCGGTGGCAGAAAAGTAAGCTCACCCTGGTCTGTTCATTAGAGATAGTCTCACCTTCGGATGTTTGCTTGGCTACCGTTGGTTTGGTCCAGATTGCAGAGTCCAAATGTAGAAGAAAGATGAATAGTGAAAAAAAATAAAAACAAAAGTCAGAACATGGGCATTTTCATAATTTTACCCCTCAATCTAACATTAGTTTAATGGAGTTGGACTTAAATGTGTATTTTTCGAAGTTCCGGTACTAAAGTGGCATATTTGAAAGTTTAGGCCCTAAAGTGAGACTATCCCCAAAGGACAGGGTACTTATCTGCAGTTTACCCAAAAATTAAAAATAGAAAATGAGTGAATAACCTCGGAGAACCAATTTGAAGATGACGGCTATAGTTGAAAAAGAAACAATGTTGAGCATAAGAGTAGATGCATTTCTTTTTACTCATCCATAAAATTTCATGAGATAGAGATAGAGATAAACAGAGAGATACATGACAGACTATCATCAAATAGACAGCTCAACATCTAAGAACCTCTGAAGCTTTATTTGTAGGAATCATCAAATAAACAGTTTCAACTAGAACGATATATTCATAATGAAGTGGCAGGCACTCATGAATTCATATTACTCTACCTCCTTTTTGCAGGGGACCTTGAAGTACTAAACCCTGCAACCAGATAGAACAAGAAAAGGCAATCAAAAAGTTAGATGTCATTATTAACTTTTAGAACAAAGGAAAAGAACATTGAAAATAGAAAATTGTATAATAACATCAATAAACTTTTTGTAACAAATCCAAAAGCAATAAACAAGAAAATAGAAAACAAAGTAACAAACAAACAAGTTTTCAGCATGAGAATATCTTCATATCATGATATTCATATCAAAGATTCAAAATTTTCAAGATAAACAGAGGTAGAAAAATCCAAGAGAAATTTTACCTACATCATAGAAAAAAGCTTACCCCTGTCATATGAAATTTGTTTCTGGCTACGAAATGCACGCCGGCCTCTTGCATCTCTTACTGGGGAGTATCTACGCTGGGGCGAATGCCTTCTGTCAAGCTTATCCCTCAAATCACTACTTTGGTTATCCCGCCTACCTGCAATGATCAAAAGAAAGCATTTTCAGTATGGTATACGAAATTACCTATCTCTTGTTTCTCAGTTGAAGGCCAAGTGGAGAACCCACAGATGACATAAAAGGCCAGGCTTACCATTACATGGAGCAATACGAGAAACTTAATTATGAATAGTAATAGTGTCTCCTTGCCAGTTCCCAGAGAGGCCATAGAAATTAATTCCCTCATAAAAAAGATAGATACGGCTATACCCGTGTTTGAGCTTAGACCATTGAGAAAACCCATCCAATACTGAAGAAGCAATTAATATAGGATAATTGATATGACTGTCTTCTTGGGCATCAAGAAAAACAATAAAACCTGAAGTGTACAGATTTCTCTCTGGTGCCATAGTAAGACAATAATAAATATAAGCATCTCCAAATCCAATAAAATTGGTCTCCCTTGACCATATCTTCCCATAATAATCTGCAATATTTCACCATTGAACATCCAAAGAAATCCATTTGCCATATTGATATTACTCAAGGAGGACTCACAGATGACGTGAAAACCATGTGCTTCACCGTTACATGAACTGCAGGACTTACTACAGAAAACACTTGGATGTTTTATGCCCTATAACATGATGGAACATCAAATATATTTGAGAAAACCTAACTTCCACAATCCTCTATGTAGGCTCTCGTATTTTATTGAGGCATTGTGAGAACAGAAACAATTAAAAATGCCAGGAAGTAATGTCACTGACTACATGAAGAGATGCCAACCAGAGACCTTCAAGATGCAGAAGAAATGGAACAATCCAGCAAAAAAATACCAATCAATGACATGACAGCAAGTTATAAGACAACATTAGCATCTACCAAGTCAAGAGAAGAGGATTTCCCCACAGAGATGGTTGATATATGCAGAATTTAGCTTGCATACATTGAAGAAACACAACAACAAATATTAATCTGCATATAATGGAGTCCAGTCCTGATGTTACTCATGATGATATAAAAAGGGAGGAGAGCTACAAAATGCAAGTCCAGTAAGACAAAACTAAGATGGAAACAAACCGATCCATAACATACAGAAGAGCTGCTAAGAAATTATAGAGAACTAAATTGGAAAATAGCTCAACTACAGCTTTCATGAGTGAGATTTGCAAGCCTTAAGTGTTTTAAACTTTGAACAGGGTTCAGATTTTCCAATGCAGTGAAATTTTGAACAAGATTATTAAAATCCATGTGTGTGTCCTCCCAACAGTTTATACTGTTTATATTTATCCACTTTCTAAAAACTTTTGAATCTAATTTGGAAGAAACCTTATAAAATTAAATGCATGTCCATATTGAGCAAACACATACATGTTCATCATAATAAATGTTAATTTATCTACTGATCAAAATTATTTTAATGTCTCCTCTCATTGATACTTATCCCTTTGTGTACATCTCGTGGGCCCTTTCTTCTTTCTCTTTCCTTCTAATTGTATACAGTTCTTTTTATTGATTGGCAAGGAACAATTTAGACACATTATCATATAGGGGCTGCAAATGAATGGATCATGATCCTAGTTAAATTCAAAATCAATCTGTTTAACAGGAAAGTGAATGGCCTATATATGTTAATAAAGCAAATTCAAACTCTAAAGTATGATTCAATTATTAATCGCATTGAATTCAAATGCACCATGTTGCAAGCCATTGATATCCAATTCAATTCAACAAACATGATAGTAATACTATATTCAATTAACATGCTCATTAATATACTTGTACATATAATAATGTTTTTTTTAAGAATAAAGAATAAATTCATTAAAATAAAAAGAGAGAAAGATTAGCTACACAAACCTATGAGGCTAAAATAGTAAATCTACTTAACACAGGAAAATTATCAAAAAAAAAAAAAGAGTCTAGTTAACACAGGAAAAATGAAGGCTGTCTTGGCCCTTGGGTTATGGCCCATGGGTGAAAAGAAACTTAACTTGGGCCATTGCTACCTTGTAAATGGTATAATGATCTCCTTAAAAGAGGCATTGGAAGGTATTTTGCAGAAACCATTAATAAAGGACAGGAGAGGGCTTCAGCCCCAGCTACGCAAGAGTGATGAGCTGAGGGGCAAAGAGGTTGAGATTGTCGTTACTTTTCTATTTCAGAAACAAAAGCATCTGATCAAGGAATGAACCCTTGGAACTACAAGCGGTTAGGCTCAGGATGAGATAGATTGACAAAGGGGAGAATACAAGGTTTGAGTCCTTTCCTTAATTGCTTCCTTTAACAACATGTAGTTTGCAATTTCTAAAAATTCAATTTGGTTGCATATAGATTATCAATCTTGATGAACCCTGTCTGTGAGTTTATGTTCTGGAAATATTTGTAGATTTATTCTATTTCTTTTATGTATCATTCTTGAAAGGAATTTCAAATTGTCTAGGTTTTGTGATATTTTGCTTGTGTTTCATATTTTTTGAAAAAAATAAATAAATAATTGAACCAAATCAGATAGAACCAGGTAACTGATTATATTAGGGTTCTGAATACAAAATACTATGTTTTTTATCCATCAGATTCAATCCATTTGCAGCCCTGCTATATAGTAAGTTGACAAACAAATAAATGGATGAGTAAAAAATAGTAATTTGTGACAGCACCAATGAATATGGAAGGCAGTTAGTTGAGCTGACATGAACACACTAAGATTCAACCTAAAAAGGGGATGTAGGTAAGAACCTGAGCTTCCATGCAAACATTGCCTAGACGCTTTTTGTTCATTTGTTCTATTTTTTAACTATATCCTAATACTATTCGATTATTGCTATAACTAATTTTTAAAACAACCTACCAACATGAGGCCACATTTTTATTACCTTGATTGATAATCTGTACGAACTATGATTGTATTAGGTTGCTGATACTATGTCTGAGGATCTACAATGATAATCTTAAGAATCACTTTATTTATATTATTGTTTCCCTTCTTTTAAATATCTTGCAGCAAACCAACCAAAATATTTGGTAGCAATGCAGTGAGTTTCGCAAGGTTTTATTTATGCAAGATAATTTGCAGTCCAGATCATAACCTTGCAAGAATGAATGTCACAACATAATGTAAGAGGAAAACTCAATCTAGTCACTCCGTCATGTTGAACAATCTCAACAACTTCATATTGAGTCGCACTTTTGGGGTTTTTACCTTATTGGAACTACTCTTATAATTCAAAAACGAACATAGTATAAGTAAAACTAGTATTAAAAGGGATTTAACAGTTGCTTGAAACCAATATGTATTTGTTGACAGAATATATGGGAGCTATGGATCCTCTGCATATATAGTTGCTAGCAGATCAAGAACTAGCAAATACTACAAAGAAAATATAGACAAAGCTGTGCCTCTATGTAGGATATTTTATAAGTTACGGAACAGTTACAGTGCGGGACAAAATAAATGAAAATAAAAAATCAAAAAACTCTCACCATTAAAAGAACCAGAGAACCTCCTAAGCTCTGCATCTCCATGGGCGAAAGAGCAGCTCTGTCGCGCACAATGACCTCTCTGATAAAGTATGCAAAGCTTCGTCTTGAAAAGCTTCCTTTCAAGCATAGTTAGTGATTATAAGCCCTCAAATTAAGCAATCATGAGTCGTCAAAGGGATAAATAACCTCGGCCAAGATTATACGCAATCACTCGACAATCATAATAACCTCAGCCAAGATTATATGCAATCACTCCACAATCATATAAAAATAAAACGAATTCGTTCGGCACTTAACGGAAATGCAGACACGAACCAATCCCTACATTTTGAAGAAACCCTAAGCCGTAAGATGGAGATCCAAACAGTATAACAGGAACGAACACAAAGAACATCATTGAGCAATATGTGAAAGTACCTTGAAACGAAAACAACCCGAGTGGCTCAACGAAAGATAGAACCCTATCAATCAACATTCCATGAAAGCATTACAGCGAGAAAGAAAGAACCTTTTAAGTGTCGATCAGACAACCCGGTGCGGCAGAGGCACTGCGGTCGTGTTTTAGCTTAACATGTAAGCAACATCAGACCGGCTCCAGTGCGTTTAGACTCGAAGGGATTTTCTATTCGAGTCCACTAAACTTTTGACACGTCAATACGTATTTAACTGCCAGTTGCAACCGGTTGAAATTTTTTAGGGATAAGTATAATGTATTCCCGTAACAAATCTGAAATGGCAGCCCCTCCTAATCTATTGATAGCCCTCTCATCGTAAATTTGGAATCAATCTACAGCAAGATTCAGTTCGCCCCCAAAAATTTTAGTTCCATCTTAAGGGTGGATTGAACTATAAAAACCCTAATTTTTATGACAACTAGTGATGGGGCACGTGAATTGCATATGTAGGCTCGCTATTTGGGCACGTGAATTGCATACGTAGGCTCACTATTTTAAACATGAATTGGTAAACAAATAGGGTTAACAAGTAAAACGACATAATGTGGAAACTTATTCCTGTCTTTTGAAATGATGAGCAACAATGTTCTCGTGCTTAATATATCAGAATCAAATAAGCATTTAACTAACAAAAAAACATGAAAGGGAAAGAGTTTGAAATTAGGACAAGATCTAGTTTTATCTATTTGGGAGTTACTTAATAAACTCTAAGTAATATTATTAAGTACGAAATGAATGAGCTATTCTTCCATATTGGAAATCGATCAAATCCATTCCCACTCTAAGTACATACACAACCAGGTCCAAGGGTATGTAAAAATAGCACACTAATCCTAGGGCATGTACCCAAAACCTGTGTTCTTTCCGTAACCACAACCATTAAAATTTAATTTGACTTGATTAGGAGATAAAGGATGTCAAATTCCAGGATCAATTTTTTAATTCCATGAATTTATTCAAGGGAATGAGAAAGGTAAATAGAATAGTACTTTACCGAGCTTGTTTTTTCCCTTGAGGCATGCATTTCATAAGATCTTAGCTACATATTGCATAATTGTTGGTTAAGCATGATGGCTTCTTTCCTGAATATCTATTGTTCTTTACAAGTACAAATCCGGATGATGTATGTTATACTAAGCTTTTTCTTCATCTCTTTCAGTTGGAAAAGTTATTTACAGGTTTTTAGTTCAACATAAAGAAGACCGAAGTCTATCTTTGCTTCTATATGTCATGTTTTTTCTCCTCTGCCACGAACTACAAATCTTGATAGTGAAACAAATTTGAAGACTATAAAGGCACCTAAAGGCACTTGTGATGACTTGAATCTTGATAGTGAAACAAATTTGAAGACTATAAAGGCACCTAAAGGCCTTTTCCACTTATGCACCAATTGATTTTAAGCTCCTTTGAACTAAATATGCAAGGCTTGTGTTATTTAGATTGGGTTTTAATGTATAGGGAGAAATCGGTAACTCTAGTATCTTCTCAGTTAGTAAGTTTTTATTCAAGACAATCATAAAAAGAGATGTTGAATGAGAAGGGAGTCCACTAAAAAAAATCAAATACAGTTCAAAACAATAATCGTACTCACTAAAGAAAAGGTTGTTGACGAAGCAAGTAAGATCAATTTATCTTTGGCCAAATTTAATATATTTCATATATGTTTTTTGAAGCATATAATGTGTGTTACTTTGTGTGAAATATATACACTTTGTGTGTAGCACCCTATTATATAGGGACTTTTTGCCTTTTGAATATAATGTGTGTTACTTCACATTTCACAAATACACACACACAAATTGAAATGGATGAACTAAATGGCTTATTTGTTTGTGTGGATAAAATTACCAAATAATAATAAAAAAAAAAATCAGAGGGAATAGTAATTAGTAATCAATGTCATGCCTCAACTTCACCTATGAAGGAGCTTGCAACCTCCTATATTTTATTCACTAAAAAGACAAATTATTAAGCCATTCAATTAAACTACTTCAGTTGTAATATTCAAATATCTCCCACTTATACATAATGCAAGTATTCTAAATGAAGTCTTGTTCAATTAGATATCAAGGCAAAAGGCAAAAAAGATAAATATGTTCAAACATAATTTCAAGTATCACCAAAAGCTATTTTATGTCAGGAATTAATGCATCTAGAACACCAAATGTGATCTCCAACTTCATTGGCAACGTTAGGACCCATTGGAATATAAGCCATTGCTAGCTATATTCATACTAAAAATATGTACATTTAATTTGTTTTTTGTATCTATGCTTTTATGGAACTATTCATACAGGTCAACAAAGAGAATATAATAAAAGCAAGTTTTATATTGAGTATCTAATATGTCACACCCAAATGATTTGTTTGTTTTAGTGGATGGAAATTGTCCAGTGTCAATTGATTAACAAAAGTAGATTATTCTAAAACTTGGAGGATTGATATCTGGGGCTAGATCTTTGAAGTAAATAGTTCCATTTTGCCACATTGCCATCTTTTTTGGATTTCTTAGGCTATAGGCAATTGACTCGTGAGAAATGCTCTCTCTTCCTTGGAATAATGGATTCATTACAGGGGATCGTTTGGAAATTTGAATGGAAGGAGTTACCTCAATGTATCAAATGTGAAAGGTAAATGATCATCCATGATCTACTTGGGGCTAAGGAACTCGGGTTCATATATCTCTTCAATACCTTAAGCTAATTTTGGCAGCCGATGGCAAAATGTCTATGGAGCAATCAACCAAACACATGGAGTGGGCTTTAGTAACCACCTATTATAGACCTCATCTAGATTTTTCAGTTACTAAATTGAACAAACTCACTACTTAGCATATTGAGTCTATCTTCTAAAAAGTGTCATCAGAACTTAATGGAAAATGTATTGCATTTAAAATAAACTTGTTTAAGAAAAAAGAACACGCATGACTTCGTTGAAGTCTGAACATGCATGACTAAATTTAATCCGATGGGTTCTAAAACATCCTTTAGTTTTAGAGAAAAATTATAATTAAAATAAAAAATACAATAGGTAGAAGTACTTTACTTTGAAGTCTGAACATGCATGACTAAATTTAATCTGATGGGTTCTACAACATCTTTTAGTTTTAGAGAAAAATTATAATTAAAATTAAAAATACAATAGGTAGAAATACTTTACTTGCTGGATTAATTACATTGTTGAAATGACGAAGCCACATTAATGGCATCTTATTTGTCCTACCTGACCAACAATCGTCCAACTTTACGACAAAACCGATTTTGATGAGAAAGAAACAAAACCGATTGAAACCTCTTAGCATAACTAGCCCTTTATCAAAGTTAAAGCAAAACACTATGCATTCCAATGGCAACAAGTGTCCAAAAGAAAAATCCTTAGCTCTCATGTTCGCCCATTCTACAGTTGCTTTAACATGTATAAACTGATTTTTTTGATGTTTTGACAAGGGGTAAAAATGGAAATATATTTTAATAATAGGGGTAAAAGTGGAAGTATGAAATCAGTCTTTCGACGATAATGAACCATACTCATTTTTATTAATGGGTAAAATAGAAATATATATTTTAATAATAGGGGTAAAAATGGAAGTATGAAATCAAGGTCTTTTGACTAGGGGTGCCCACGGTATGGAACCGTGGGGTGATTTTCTGGACAGAATCGAACTGTTCGGTTTTTCAATTTAACCAAACTAAAATTGAATTGGTGCAACTAGTTAACTGCGGTTCATTTTTTCGGTTTTTTTATGCCTTCAATATTAAAAAAGGGGGAAAACCTTCATTGTCGATGGTCTGAAGATAGTGAACACTGAACAGAATTGTGAACTGAGACTGAGAGTGAGAGAGAGAGAGAGATTGAGAGAGATGAGTGACTGAGACTGGGAGATAAGAGATTGAGAGAGATCAATGAGTCTTAGTGTCGAGTGGGAGAGAGAGTGAGAGATGAGAGATTGAGATTTCAGATTTGAGAGGATACGCCATGTGTCGGTCTAAGAGAGTGAAGGTTGAATCTGAGAAGAGATGCCAGACGTCGGTCGAAGGCTCGCATGTGGGTAGGTTTGACTTGTTGGGGAAGAAGAAGAAGAGTATGAAATGGAGAACACAAAACAGAGAGTGAGGTGAGACAGACACAGTTGGTCGCCTGGTCAGAGTATCGAATGTCGGTGACTCGATCATCGGAGGCCGTTGGTGATTTGTTTAGAGGGCGGAGCGCCAGAGGCCGTTGGTTCTTTGGGGAAGAAGAGAACTAAGAGTTTAAGAGAGTGAGACTATGAGAGTCTGATTCGAAGAAGTTGGTGGAAAACCACCGAGACAAAAGAGAATAAAGGCTTGAAATTTTTCGATTTTCGAGACTAAGAGACTGGTAGTCTAGCACTCTGGCAGAGGCAGACTGTCAAACTTTCAATTTTCAAATTGAAACTTTCAAAGAGAAAGTCTGAAAGTCTTTCAAATTGCCAACATTGTTTCGGTTAACCGCCGATTTTTTTAAATGGTTAACCGAAACTATCAGTTTTTTTAAGAATGTTGAACTGAAACAGAGCCGATTGATTCAATTAATCAATTTTTCGATTCGCTTTTCGGTCGGTTTGTTTTTTCGATTTTTTTCTCACCCCTACTTTTGACGATAACATTGAACCATTCTTATTTTTATTAATGGGTAAAGACAAGGGGTAAAAATGGAAATATATTTTAATAACGGGGGTAAAAGTTGAAGTATAAAATCACTCTTTTGACGATAATGAACCATACTCATTTTTAGTAATGGGTAAGATAACAATATTTTTTAATAAAAAATTGATATTATAATAGAAAAATTTAAGAGGAAATTCTCGATTAGTACCCTGTACTTTGGGCCTAGTGCCACTTTGGTCTCCGAACTTTAAAATGCGACAATTCAGTACTTGAACTTTCAAAACATCACAATCCAGTACTTGTTGTTAACTAGTTGTTAACTAGTTGTTAACCAGCCATTAAGTGGCATTTGAAAAAGACACAAACGTTAATTTTCTTTATCAACCATCCAAGTATTGACAAAAAATTAACAGTCTCAAATCATTGCCTCTTCTATTCAAGAAAGTCGGTTCACCAAAAAAAATTCAAGAAAGTTGGGGTCACCAAAATATCCACTCAAACGTGACCCCAACTTTCTTAAATGGAAA